GGGGGTGTGTGGTGGGGGGGGGGGGTGCAGTACATGGGGGGAAAGGAAAGGAAGGAGTGCCACTGTGGTAAAAAGATCACCTTTTTTGATTACCCCCCCTCCTTTTGTAATTGCTGGCTACAGACCTAGTATGTATTTGTATTTTTGTGATATGTTCTATGTTTTTTTGATGTAAATGCGAACTTGTACTTTCTTCTTAGTGCAAGCTTTTTTATTTACCATTATATTTTATATGGAAACCATATTTCAATTTCCCAAATTACTCATCTTAATTGTGTTAAAAAGGGATCTTAATCCTTATTGTATGCATGATTGTAACTGGACATTGATATTTAACCTTTCAGATGCTCTGTGTCATTTAACAAGAATGTCAACGTCGGTGTCACACACTGCTCCAATGTGACGGGGACATTGTTTGGTACAAATGCAAGTTTGATGAATGATTTGACGGTGAACTGTACCAATACAACCAACATTACTACAGTGGACCCCGTCGTAGAGTTTTGGGAGTAAGTTTACTTTGTAGAGATTGCATTCAGTGATGGTCTGTTCAAGCAAAAATATAAATTGAGAAAGCAATAGTTAAAAAAATGGGAATAAGAATAAAATGAGAGGATTAATGAAATGGAGAATGAGGTCAAGATGACATAACACCATGATTTAAGTAGTGTATATTAAGCAGGCCGTATGCAGTCAGAAAATTCTACAAATTATCTCTACCCGCCTTTCAAGCATGGACACAGGTGTGTTCACACACACACGCATGCGTACGCACGCACGCATACACACACACATTTACCATCCATCATTTTTTTTGTGGGAAGAATATATGTAAGCTATATATTTGTTCTGAATTACTCTACCTTTGTATGTATATTTTTCCTAGGCGCCGCATCCTGCAAATCTCTGGTGGAGTGGATGAAGTAGGCACTATTGTGTGGCAGCTGGCGCTGTCGCTGCTGGTCATCTGGATCATTGTCTACTTCTGTATATGGAAGGGAGTCAAGTGGACGGGGAAGGTGGGTTACTGTGAGTGGTGCAGGTTGTAGGCTAGAATGGAAAGTTGATGCCAAGAGTTTAAAGTATCTTATTTCAGTATATGCATGTGGAAGAGGTTTGAGTAGATGTGGAAGGTAGGTGCTGGCTGTGATACATGTCTAAGACAGGGTTTCATGAAATAACTTTATTTAGGCTGAAAACTGGTTTTAACTTTTAGACCAAAATTATGGTCTAGTTCAGTTCAAAATAAATAGATATTAACTATTGTCCATTTTAATAAAATAAATATTAGTCTTAAACATTAGCCTTGTCTTTATTGCTAGAAAATGGGTATTTTTGATTAATTAAAATGTATAATATATATATATTTAATATTCTCTACCCATTCTTTATTCTCTAGGTTGTGTATTTCACAGCCACATTTCCCTACCTAGTGATCACAGCACTTCTGATCCGTGGGGTGACNTGGTGAATATGTAATGAATGTGGGACTTTGCAAAAGATACAAAGAGAGTTGGAAATCTGGATGCTCTGGCATCATGGTACTTCTATTTCCCATATATAGCCACATATAAGGTGTTTGCATTTTCCGTATTTTTAAAGGTCCTCTTTTCTTTCTGAATACATATATATATATGACAATAGCATAAACAGAAGCACAGCAGGCTCACATGTTTTCCATGTTTGTTAAATAGACTGCTTTGATCCAGATTTTCTTTATTGATTTTGTAGGTATGGATAGATGCTGGCACCCAGGTTTTCTTCTCCTATGCCATAGCCCTGGGAGCCATGATAGCACTGGGCAGTTATAACAAGTTCCATAACAACCACTACAAGTAAGTGGAGGAATCACACCATGTTAACTAACACAAAGTGTAAGCCTCAGATACCAGGGAGATGTTGAGAGAAGGGGGAGGGTAAGGGGATAGAGAGTTGACTGTCTTAATTGTTATATTGTAGGTTTGGAAGACCCTTAAAGGTACATACGAACCGAGCATAGGTAGAGCGTGGATATCTAGTAACACATGTAAACCACTTCTTCTAGTTTCTTATGCGTCACAAATAAATTCGACATGCCAAGGGATAAACTGAATAGATCACTCGATCAGCCATAAAAGAGCTTTAGACTGCTCCTTTCTTTAAATTTTGGGTCAGGAATTTAACCTATTTCGTGACCTACTTTTCTGCCCCATTGTCATACAGCATAGAATGCTAGCAGAAAAATCCGTTCAAACATAATTTTCGGGTAAAATTAAACACTGCCTTTTGGTAATTCTCTTAGTTATACTACTTGAAACTATATGCTGGCATTCGGTTGGTTTTATTGACAAAAATTGACTTTGTATGCATCTTTAATAAGGAGGGTTTAAAACATCATGCCTCATTAGTAAAATATAAAGGAGGTTCCTAAAAAGCATTTTTTTTACTGTCATTATGCAATAGTCAAAAAAAAAAAGAAAAAGTCAAGTGACATCTTTTCTTTGAATCATGTACCATACCTCAAGCATCCTTTCTCTTTCTGTTTTTTTCCTGTAGGGATGTGATCATCATCTCCCTGGCCAACAGCGGCACCAGTTTGTACGCTGGTTTCGCCATCTTCTCCGTGCTGGGCTTCATGGCGTACGAGCAAGGCGTGGACATCACGGAGGTAGCAGAGTCCGGCCCGGGACTGGCCTTCATTGCCTACCCCAAGGCAGTCACACAGATGCCCATAGCACCGCTGTGGGCCATACTGTTTTTCTTGATGATCATATTTTTGGGATTGGACAGTCAGGTATTTCTAGTGATGTCTTGGGCTGAGTTTAAAATGATATTAAGGTCAATTGTCAGTATAATATACCTATATTTTACCCTCCAAAAATTTCAACTTTCTCTACCTCATGAAAAGGGAAATTTGTATATCTATTTCTCAGTATATGATACATCCAAAATTATAATTCATTTGATGAAAATTATAGTTAATTGGTGATAATAATAATATACAGTACGTCAAGTAAATTTCTAACAGGCAATGATTAAAATTTTGACAGTTTGTCTTTTTTATTTGTTATAAACAGCCAGTAAAAGCATTACCAATTTTTATTAAAAAATGTATGTACATTTCCTTCAGTTTGTTGGCGTGGAGGCCTTCGTGACATCCATATTGGACCTGTTCCCGAGGCTCCTCAGGAAAGGCTACAACAGAGAGATCTTCATTGCCATCTACTGCTTTGTGTCCTTCTGTGTGGGCCTGCTGATGGTGACCAATGTAAGTGAATTTATTATTATTATTTTTTTTAACTGACCTCTTGCCAGGCAGTCCACATTATAGCTGCTAAATTTGGCAGGTTGTACGTGAGGTTTCTGATGATGAGTGATTATAGTCTTTGAATGGAGGAGGCAATAAATTCATGAAATAAAGCGTTTTTGATGGGGTAACACTTAGCTTTCAATAAACCTCTGAAATTAGGGATTTATCATGTGAGTTTTGATGCTCATGCATGTATATATATATATGTGCACATGAATTGGCCAGGGAGATATGGTGAGTGAGTGTGAGCATGAGAGCAATTTGACTGTGAGCCGATTTTTGTATGTCATCTGTAACCTACTGAACCTGCTGAATGTACATTATTCTGTCAAAACATGATTGAAACTCTGTGCAGAAAAATAGCATGGTCTATCTTTTTTAAAAAACCAAGTTAAAACCCAACTAAAGAAGAACCATCAGTGTGAAGGGGGTTCTGTTGGATTCTAGTTCAATATTTTTATATGAAATGGAGCTTACAAATCGGACTACATGCTACCCCTTCCCATAAATGATTAATTCCATCACTTAATTCTCTGTTTTTCCAATTCATTCATCCAGCACTCTGTCCAGTGCACTGCCATCTTTGCTCATCAACCCTAACCTTATCTATGTTCCAGGGAGGCATGTATGTGTTCCAGTTGTTTGACTACTACTCTGCCAGCGGGATAGCCCTGTTGTGGGTCTGCTTCTGTGAATGTGCAGCCATAGGATGGATATATGGTAGGAATATGGGTATATGTATATAGGCATAGGGTGGTTATATGGAATGTATATATGTAAAGCCATAAGATATATGGTAATTTATGCATAGCCATAGGATGGATATAAGGTATTATATCAGTATATGTATATAGCCATAGGGTGGATATGTGGAAATGTGTGTATGAGCTAGTTTATGTATTTAAGGAAATGACAGGCTAATGTTGGGGTGCAAGCAATTTATGGGTGTCAAAATATAAAGAATAATTGCTTATGATGTTATGAACATCTGAAAATATGTGGTCCCATTTTCAATCTTTAGTTCAAATTTTTTTATTTCAAAATCTTTGACTGCTGTGCATTCTGTTTTGTGTTTCCAGGTGCGTCCAGGTTCTACAAGGACATTGAGCTGATGCTGGGCTTCAAGATCCTGCCCTGGTTCTGGGTCTGCTGGATTGTTATCACACCTCTGATAACCATGGTAGGTATAGGAGAGGGCACTTGATTCAGTACCTGCTGAAGAGCATGACAGACACAACCAGATGACTTCATGAAGGATGTAACTTTCTGTGGCGCAGTGAGATATCCGAGTCCCTGCCACTGTTATGAATTAAAATACAATGGACTGTGTGCATTTATGAAAAGTTAAATCTGGATGAAATGGTGATAAGTTAGATAAAATTGAGCATTAATTGTGCACTTGTTAACTGATATATAACATTTTAAAAACTCTATCAAGATCTTACCTGTAATTAATCGGCTATCATGCTTTAATTTCAAAATAAAAAGATTAAATGTGTAAAATTTTTAACTTGCAGATCATTTTACAGTTTATTTTTTTCCTTCCCAGGGGATGTTGATCTTCTTCTTTGCGACCTTCAAGCCACTAACATACAACAAGACGTACGAGTACCCTCCGTATGCACAGGGCCTGGGCATGTGCATGGCATTCGCATCCATGATCTGCATCCCGCTGACGGCACTCTACAGGATAGCTAGGGCCAGGGGGACATTGGCTGAGGTGAGTGGACAAATTGTGGACCTTCTGAGGAACAAAGGTTCTCTCTCTCTCTCTCTCTCTCTCTCCAGATATTTTGGATTTAAAGGTAAGTAATCTAGACTATGAACTGTTTACAGCAAGTAGAATGATGCAGTTTCATTTTAGAGTCAGTGGAAATGTTTTATATCTGGTTGACAATAATAATGATGTTAGAACCTGTTGGAAATTAGCTGTAGTGGGTTTAGAAAACTTAGCACAGAGTATTTATGAATTGTGACATCACTGTGCATTGTGTGTGTATCTGACATCACTGCATTGTGCGTGAATGTGGCATCACTGCATTATGCTTGTATGTGACATCACTGCATTGTTCATATATGTGGCATCGCTGTGCATTGTGTGACATCATGGTACAGTGTATGTGTGTGACATCACTGCATTGTGTGTGTGTATGACATCACTACATTGTGTGTGTATGTGACATCATTGTGCATTTTGTATGTGACTTCACTGCATTCTGTATGTGACATCTCTGTGCATTGTGTATGTGACATCACTGTGCATTGTGTATGTGATATCACTGTGCATTCTGTATATGTGACATCACTGCGTTGTGTATGTGATCTCACTGCATTGTGTATGTGATATCACTGTGCATTCTGTATATGTGACATCACTGCATTCTGTATGTGATATCACTGTGCATTCTGTATATGTGATATCACTGTGCATTGTGTATGTGATATCACTGTGCATTGTGTATGTGATATCACTGTGGATTCTGTATATGTGACATCACTGCATTGTGTATGTGATATCACTGCATTGTGTGTGTATATGTGGCATATCAGGTGATATACTTCAAGGAAATGTCATACTATGGTTCAGTCATAATTGCTGTTTTACTTTCTTAGGTATTTTGTTCAACATTTTATGTGCTTAATATTTTTGTGCTATTTACATTGTGGAGAGAAAATTAGAAATTGGAGTGTAACATGATAACTATTATAGCTAGATCTTGTCACCCAAGTAAATAGATAAAGAGGGACCGTACAGCTGCAGCCTGCTGTAGTGCATGTAGTTAAATACTGTGGATTAATTTGCTGTTTTGTTGTGCAGTTTTTTAACAACCCAGACACCTTCAAATCGGTCTGAAGATTGCTTTTGACAGTGTATTAATGTTTACTGAACGTGCATGTGTTGTGCAGCGTTGAATTTCTGGAGTGATGCGTTTACTGTTGCTGTACACTGTAGCTTTTCTGACTGTACATGTATATAGTTTGTTTGGTAGTTTTGATATTGTGGTGTTGCTGTAGTGAGCAAATGTACAGTACTGTTACAGTAGTTTTCACTGTGTATGTATATATGTGCAATACTGACTAAGTACTGCAGTCATGATCTGGTAGTTGTCACATAGGTATATTCACCTTTAAAATTGTTGTACAACATTCAGTTTGATTGCTATAAGAATTAGAATAATATAACATTCCTAAAAGCTCAACTAAAGATAGTTGTGGCCTTATACATCAATCCATCTGTGTTGCCTCTCTTTTGAGGTTTCTCTTGTTGTAAATGTATGTTTGAGTGTTGCACTGGAAATGTGGTTGTTTTCAGCATTTATATATTAGTCAGCCTTGTGTCCTGTGTAGTCTATAACATGCTGCATTGCTTAATTGGCAGTTATCACTGCTTTTTTCAAATTTTGGTTATTTGATTTATAGTGTAACATAGATAAAGTTGTTGATTTGCCTTTATTTTTGTTCTTCATTTGTTAGCAGTTACTTCTGATCAATACTTATCTCTGTAATTCAAGCTTATCTTCAAACACTGCATTCACTGATAACTATATATTAACTTTAACCATAAAACAACTTTGAATAACAGAACTGGACTAAAAATGTCTGCTTCTTTTACTAACAATATAACTATTAATATGTATTAGACACGTTACTTTATAACTGAGTTGACCAAACTAAACTATTTCTGATGTCACTAACAAGTGGCAATGACTGGGTAAATTCTTTTAACATTATGCAGGGCTCACACCTAGGAGTTTTTTTTTTAATGAAATCAATTTGTTTCTAATTTACAACCAAAAGGAATTTTTTTATCAAAGCAGAAATGAATTTTGCAAAATTTCTATTTCACTTTCTCTGGCAAAGAAAGCGTTTTGAAGTACATAACTGCATGGTTAAGAGAAGATTTTCCATAGCTGGTGCGAATTCAAATACAGCTTGCCACCTTTCTGACTGACTAAGTGTTGGTCTCATTGGCAGGTTGTTCTAGTAAGCCTAGTCAGGTGCTTTACATGATGCATTCATAAAAAAAAGATACTTATTTCCCTTCACTCTCCATATATTATTTGCTTAATTCTTGCCTTGATGCAGCGTTGGGCATTTGTGACCACACCACGGAACCGACCAAAGGAGGCCAAAATTGCTCATCTAACTTACGCCGTCATCCCAACCTATGATGTTGAAAACGTGTCCAAAGTTCCCACAGCAATGCAAAATGGCAGCGACCACGCCCATCCCAAAGAAAAAGCCACGAACAACAACGCCACCCCTATGCTCTCTCCGTCCGATCTAATGGCTAATGGAAATGCTGTATAATACATTCTTCTTGTTTACTTTGGTGGTAGGTAGCACATGGGTATCTCTGCTTATAACAGGTTGTACTTTCTCTGCTTTTGCTTCTGGATATTTTGCATGAGTTTTGCTTCTCTGTAATTTTAACAGTCTGATTCAGAAAAATGATTTTGTGTGCATAATGAAAGTTTGGACTTTGGGATGTTGCTGATGCTTCATTTTTTTCCAGTCAATAATTTGATTTGCTTTTATTTTATTTTTGAGGAAATAACATAATAATCTGAAAAACTGCTGGTTTTTCGATAAAAAAAAAGAAAAAGAAGAATAATTTGTCTTTAAATGTATCAATTTTTGTGTGTAAGGACTGTTTCTTCTTTAATCACCTCTAATAATGTGCTTTTGTCTTAGTAAGAAAGAATACCGATTCCCATTCAGTTTTGGCAAGAATCTGTAAAAAGATTATACTCCATTAAATAAGCTGAAATAAATTGTTTTCTGAATGCATAACTGCCTGTCTAGGCAGGTTTTTAAATTGATTGGAATTGTGATATTGAATTTTTGCTGTAATATTTAGTAATGAAAAGCCAGCAAGATCAGTATGTAAAGGAGCTTTTCATGTCAATATTTTGCTGACATTTGTCAGCATTTTCCCTTACAAGCTCTGTGTGTAATAGTCATTAAAAAAAGAAAGATAAAATGGATCTAAAACAACAGGTAGGAAAAAAATCAAAAGATATGTGATACATAGAATTTTTGGCAATACTGCATTTTTTGTGTGACGGTGCATAGTGGAGATTGATTTGCTGTGGATAGGTTGCTTTTGGAGCTTCTGTTTTAATTTTGATACAGTTGACTGGTGAATTTGTTAATATGAAAGTTTTTGTTCTGATTATGATATTATTTTTGGCAGCTTGCTTGTGCCAGTAGTTGTTAAAAAAACCCCATACACAAACACACACAGAGGCATGCACATGCAGACACACATGCACGCACACATGCAGGTCGTTCAGATGTGTTTTTCCACCAGTGAGTGCACTCTCCATGAACTGTGAATTTTCATGATAACTTTTGGTTTGATAAACATATCTTACTGGAGAGATTAGGAGATACATGAAGCATTATCAATATTATAGGTATTTTTAACTTCATATTTAGAATGACAAAGAAGAACTGAATAGCACCTAGTTCAGTTTTTTAAAAGCTCCAAAGAGTTAAAAGTGCCCCAAAAGACCTGAGTTATTTACCATTTCATCTTCCTGCATTTTCAGCGATGGAGGGTGGTGACGACTCCAGTATTCTCCGAATCCACTCAGAAACACATCCGCAGTGCCGAAGATTCTTGGTCCACAATCAGTCACAGCTTTATGTCTTCACGAGATACAATATTTACTCTTCAGTCCAGGTCTTATGACTTGCAAAAAGTTTAAGTTGATTGTTTTTTTGCAAAAGCTGTTATTTTTATTGTGAAAGGCCTACATAGTTGTATACTAGTATATCTAGTAGACTAAGATCTGTACATTCACTTACACTCTCTTTTGCTATTGTTTTGTATCAGATTTTCTATAGAAGTAAAATGGTATAGTAAAACTTGGAAGAAAAACATTTTACCAAAGTATTATAATGTGCTGTACTTAACAAAAGATTTTAAAAAGTAGATATCATGTATTTTTCTAGATTCAAACAAAACACCTTTTTTTTTTTTCAAATTTCATGTATGGAGCCTACATGAGCGGTGCCTCATAGATATATATTGTCTTTTACTGTAACATCTTTATAAGGTACTTTATGAAAACAATACATAGAATGAATATCTATAATAATAGATGTATTGTAATGAAAAGTGACAGATAAAGAACGTATCCAAATCTGGGAAAAATGTGGCTGCAACTCTCAGAATTTTCTCACAAGTGGACAGAGAGGGAGAGAAGAGTGATTTTCACCTGAATTTTGATGAGTAATCATTTATTTTCAAGAAATATGCCATTTCCAGTACTTTCTTGAACAGAACATTTTGTTTACTACTGGGCTTTTAGAAACTATTCTTTATTTGTCACTGAAAATGAATGGCTTTCTCCTTATAAGCAAAACGTAATTTCACTTGTTTTCATTGATTGGCATCATTGATTTTTTATTTGCCTGAAATGTTTAAGTTATTTTTTAGAATGAATTGTGCCAGTGAACACAAATGTAAACAATATTTTATATAAAAACATGTAGCAGTTGATAGTTGATATTGAATGAACTGGCATGTTGCGATTAAATGATATTGGGGTTTGTCTCCCATGGTGGAAAGATACATCTTGAACTTTTTTTTTTTGTAAATACAGCAAATGACTGTACTTAAAGTGATAATAACTCTTCGTTTTGGCCAAAAAATGAATTTTCCTGGAGTAAACAACAATTTTCCCATACTTACCAATGGTTAACGAATCCATTTTTACATTCAAAGTTAGTCCCTGGTTTTTTTCTAAAAAGTTTGGTTTTTTGTTAAAATCTCTTAAGAGATTTTAACAAAGTATAGCCATCAATGGAGGTCACGTGGTCTAAAGACAAGCTCAGATATCAGAATAATAGCTATAACAGCCGTTTTTGTGGGAAAACAGAATATATTATATTTTTATGAGTCATTCACAAAGTTTTTATTGTGAAATACAGATTTCATACGAAGAGTTATTATCCCTTTAAATTTCAGAAAATATTTTGATATTTGATCATGTTCAGGCTATGCAGTCACCCTTAAAAAAGTGACTCTTATAGTGCTGGAAAAAATCCTGGAAATTTCTACATTTTTCATGTTATCATCAGCATTGTAATTTTGTCAGTGATTTTAGATATGGTGTGCATGGGCATTTGTGACCACACCACGGAACCGACCAAAGTGAAAATGTGTCCAAAGTGTTCAAATTTCAAGGAATTTTTTCTCTGTTATATGCTCAAGGTGTCTTTGAAAATATGAAATAGAGAAATTACTAAGCAATAAAAGTATCATCATAACTAGAGGATCAGAGAGGCGATACCGCCTCCGAATATTGTACCACCAGCTGGAGCAAGTGCATTCGTATAGACCCCCACATACACAAAAGAAGGGACACANCGGCGGAGCCGCAGGAGCCGGCGGAGCCGGCGGAACGGACCGGACGGGACTAAAACCATGTGTACCGCCAGCGCTAACGCTGGTGGTACAATAAATAACCTTACATATAGCTTCAAAAGCAAGTAGTTTTGCAGAAATCGTTACTCCTGTTGAAACAGTAGTATATATTTCAAAGTAAATACAAGAGCAGGGGACATGCTCTCAAAACTTTCTCAAATTTTAAATTCTTTGAAAAATAAGGTATGTTATGCAAGCCCTCAGCAGGCTGAATGCACATACTAGTATTTTTAATGCCAGGTGGTGGAATATTGCTAGAAAACCAATAGAATTTATCAGAAATTAAAGTGACTTCAGAAAACGTTTCAAGCTTAAATAATGCATGATCTTTAGAGAAAATGTCCCTTGCATCAAAGGCAGAATGCCCACTGTTATATAAACTCAGTATTATATGATCGGTCCTGTGATCATGATAATGAAAACTAAATAATGTTGTTACTGTTTTATCGTGGTATGTAACTAGAAGTTTACTGATTTTTGCTGTTGCCTGATATATATACCTGTATATATAGATGTTTAGCCTGCACGTGTGTTAGATGTGTAGCTGTTTATTATCATTATCCTCTCTCTTTGCAACTGTGTGTGTAGTGATATTTATTTTATTTTTTTTTACCATCATTTGTGTTGTTGGACTTTGACTGAATGACATACTGATACTTTAAGAAATATAGTGTTAAGAAAAGAGACTTGGTTCAATGTAAGAAAGCTTTTTGTATCTTGTACCCTCTCAAGTAATATGGAAAAATATTTTATTTTTTATGTGTTTTCACTTTATGGTATCTTCTCTCCAGCTATCTTCCTACTGGTAGAAGCTATGATTGATCAGTTATACACTTATAAAAATACAATAATGTCATTTATTTTTTGTGAATGTCTTTTAACTCTGCTTTGAACCTTTAACATTGATAGATATTAAGTTAACTTAACCACTGATGCCTTTATTAATGTCTCAAGCTGCAGAACTTCCTCGATTTATTTAACTTTTTCCTTAGAAAGGTCTGACATTTTGTTGTCTGTTGTATTGAAGTGTTGTGAATGCTTACATCATTTCATATATTTTATTTTTTGCAGTGTTGTAATGCATGTTTAAGTAGTTCTTATTTTATTTATTATTTTTGTTAGATGATCATTTTATATGCATTTTATTTAACTATGTGCACATGTACATGTAGCTTCAGTTTGTCACTGTCATAAAAAAATTAATTGGATTGTAAAAGAGACGACAGATTATTGATTTATGCAGCGTGGTGTGCTCTGCAAGTTCTACATTGTACAATGCCATCTTTAACTTGAATACGTGTATGTTCTGAAAGATCTGCATTTGTTTTTGTCAGTTAAAAATGGGGTGCATATAGGCTTTAAAAACCCTTTCTATAATTTTGCTGGCTTAAATGACAGTAATTATTTGACCTTTTCAAGGGTGCAAATTGTTAATTTTACAGTCACTTAACAGGGTATTTTCTTAAAATTAGAACATTCCTATTTACTGGTACCAACAAAATTAAAAAGCAGCTTATGCTTTAGTTGTATTATATGCAGTAAAAGCACCGCAAATGCTATGAAGAAATATAAATTTGTGATTATTAAAGTGTGTATCTGAAAGTTTGATTATTTTTGCCCATTGAAAAGATCGAGTCATTACCGTAAGTTTTAAGGGTCCTATATGTTATGCTGGATTAAATTAACTTGGGGCATGGAGGTTTTGAAAGTTATGCATTGTGTTTAGCCAGGTTAAATTGCCATGGGAAAATGTACATGTAGGTCTTGAAAGTCCTTGGGTACATGTAGGTTTTGAAAGTTTTATAATGCGTTTTGCGGTGCAGGCACATTGATGTATGGGTCTGAGTTGAATAAAGTCTTGGAAGTGCAACATTAGTCTCCTTGTCTTTTTTAAGTAAATATAAGCAACAAATGGTCATATTTATCTCTGTTTCCAGTGTTTTGGAAGAAGAAAAAAAATTTAAAGGATAAAAAAAATGTAAAAAAGAAAGACCCAGATTAGTACTAGAACCTAGAACCTGTAGCCTCTAATCAGTTGTTAATATTGTTAGCAATTCACATTATTTGCTCAGGTTCAGTAGTCTGCTGTATTTGTGAATTTACTGAATCATCATCTCTGGAGCCTATTTGATGGTGGATAATGACGAGACCTGGTACAGAAGCAATGTCAGCTCAGTTGTCAAGGTGGGGAGAAATGGGCCCCTTTCTGAATGTAGGGCACACTCAAGAAATGGTTGTTGACTTTAAAAGGAAAAAAATGTGAAAGAGCCCGTTTACATGTACGCAAGTGGTGCTGCAATAAAGCAACTAACCAGTTTTAGACTGATGGAGTTGAATTCATCAACTTAACTGACACGGAAAAATCACATAAACAGTTTCAAAAAAAAAAAAAAAGGTAAGACAAAGGGCATACTTGTTTTAAAGAAAGTTGAATGATTTTACTTCTAATGGAATTATATTATCGAATTTTCACAGGTGATTTTATTTACATTCATTGTATGGATGTGCCACTGAAGAAGATTGCAAGTGTGTAGTTGTGACATCTACGTGTGGTAAAATCACCGGTTTTGATCACCCCTTTTTTAGTGCCATTTACATTGGCATTTACACAGATAAGAAGCAAAAACAGGAAAAAAAAAATTGTCTGACTGTACCCACCCTGCACATGGTTCTTTAAAATTTTTTTTTAATTAAAATTGATTAACTGTAGACTTTTTACTTTTAAAGGACCCAAAGGTTTTACAAGATTTTTTATCCATCTGCTGTTTCTAATTTTAACAAATGATATTAATAATGTAACAAATTATTAATCATAATGTGTAATTACATGCATGTTACCTGAAGAAGACTGACTGGTTCACGGATTAATATTGTAAATTATAAATATATATACTTGTCTTATTAGTCTGGCATATGCACTTATTTGTTCAGCTGTACATAAGAAGTATTTACTACCACATTAAATGGTACTCAATGGCTTGCTCTCACTATAAAACTGAATAAACCATTAGTAGTAGGTTTTGGTGTCGGTTACAGGTTATCAGCAACTATATTGTGACTTTAAACTTTATACATTTTATCCGGATAGCCATTCATTTTCCATTGTGCAGGGCTATGTGGATTTTTAATAAGTAAATTAATGGCTCAAAAAAACTCCTGGGAATCCCACAGGATCCTATAGGGAGTGTTTGCAAGGGAAGAGTTTGGCACACAATACACACCAATAAATATCTTTATGTCTCTTGGATACCATACTTGAAGGACAAACACAAACATGATGTTCGAAATTTGGCGGCCGCTTTTATTGTAAGGTCCCTCTAATAAAAGAAATTATTTAAATAAGTGGATAACATTGAATAATGTTAAGTAGTACACCCAAACCCAATATAGAGGTGCAATTGATGTCACAAGCATGTTACTAAAAATATTTACTTAGGGTCCCACATGAAGAAGCTTGTATAAAAGTTTCACTCTCATGGAACCGTGAATAATTAAAAACAATTCATCATTTAACCCCAAAAAGGAACATACGTTACTGTCACAAATACAAAACGTCCAACTGTGAAACGTTCTACTCACTATGAAAATTCAGTCATCACGGGTTTTCTTCATTGATTTATCTCCTACAAGTGTAACGTTGCTAAAAAATTATAATAATCTTCTGTATAGAGCAGTTAATTGTTTTTGAGCGACTTTAGTTTGCTTGTCACAGAATATTTAAAAAAATGGGGAAAATACACCCTACCGACAGTAAAATAAGCATTAAATAAAGAATTTTTCCTTTCATGATCCAAATATTATATCTGATATGTCAAACTATCATGGAACCACAATATATTGTTCGGTCAGCAAAAGAAAACATTGTATCTCTTCCACACAAGTTTCGAACAAAATGAAACATTTTGACAATTTTTCTAGGGTCATAACGCAAAGCCCCTTGAGATACAGTTTTAAAAATATTTATAAAAACATCCTTACGTCAAGTCTAATTTACCATGACTGAACCACTAAAAATATATCGGAGCGCAGCATAAAAATGAAAATTAAATGGCAAGGAACATACGTTACCGTAGGTTTTTGGAACATACGTTACCATATAGGGCTCTTTGCGTAATGTTGAAGACATGGTAAAAACAAGGCAGCAAAGCTGTCAAATGTACAGACAAAAAACAGGAAAAAAAGGTCAATTTGTCAATTTTGATGCAATAATAAATAATGCTTATAATAGCACAGTCAGTCAACAGTAATTTTTAATCATGCACAACAGGTAACATGGTCAATAACAGGAGCAGATCCAGAGATATTTTCTGACAGTATTCCAAAGTATCTATGTTGATCCATCCTCCATTTTGATGGTCTTCCAACAGAGAAAAAATAGATACCAGTCAATATAAACTTAATAACCTGTCTGTCTTCCGGAAGACCCAGAAGATGGTCTCAATCCACCCCTTCAATAAGATTACAGTTTCAGGACCATGAGAGACCAAAGTCACATGATGAAAGTCTCAACAATTTNATGATGATGATGATGAAGTGTTTAAAGTAATTATGTTATGTGACATAGATAAAATGTTATGTCATGTCACCATAAAGTTTTGTTATTATAAGCTATTCGCATCTTATATATGTTTTTATCTAATTTTAAAATATTTTTCTATATCTTAAACGCCACTTAATTGAACACGTTTGTAAGTTGTTCAGAAATGTTTAATTAATATGAATAAGTATCAAGTAAATCATACCTCGTGAATGTCGTCAGATGTGTTCATTGGAGTAAAAAAACAAACATACGTGTTGTTTATTTCCAGCTTGTAAATAATCAGACTCTGAAATGAATCCAACAAAGCAATGCACGCGTCTATAGTATCTTTGTGCTGAGTTAAAACAATAAAAATCCCCTCGAAAATATCAATTTCGTCAAAAAGGTTGTCCCACATTTAGGTGCATATGATTATATTTACAAATTATCACCGCACAGGTGTAAACTGTTAAAACTGTGATCATGTATGCTCTCTTGTTGAAGCCTTAAGTTAACCGCAGAGACACCTCTTGCAGATGAAGGGTGATGAATTTATTTCAGATTTAAGGAGTTCATGTTACAGATTGAGAATGATGGTTTAAAATTTGGATGTCTCGCTTGTATTTTGTATCTTGTATCATTAGTCATGTTAGATGTGGTGTCTCGAACAAAAGCACTTTAAAACAGTTAACAGCTGTGGGGTAATTATTTGAAAGCAAAAGCACGTGGAATTAAAGGTGGGAATGAACACTATAGCAACATGGCTCTTTATACAGCACAATAGTTTATTTAAGCTTTTTCATCACAAGCTTTTAAAAGTCGGTTAATTCGGGTATATATATCGGTACCAACAGTCCAAAGGCCCTAAAATTCGCACCTCTCTGGTCGCCGACCAAGCCCCACAACAATACGCCGCCAAGAGTACATGTAGTTAAAACAGTAAAGCGCTTGCCGCTAGTATAATTTGCTAATTTCATCAACATCTATACGTTAACAGAACTCGCTGGCAACGTTACTTGGAACAATGTCGGCGTTGAACGTTAAAATCACATTCTCTTAACGCGTGCTGGTGGTCTAATCAGTTAATATGTAACCCTGTGGGGACATAATCTGTGTTACCTGGGAATGGATTTTGGTTGCGTTTAAGTATAGTACAAGAAAATAAACTTTCTTAATTGTAATAAAATGATTGCTTAATTAAGTTAAAGCTGTTTTTTCTCACCCCTGAGCTGTTCATGGCAACCTGGAAGTGCTCATCCGTGACGTTGTTTACGGTGACATTGTCTTCGACATTGACCTGGACATTCTCATTCTCTCTCTTGACGCCCTTGTGAAGGTTGTACTTCTGAAAAACGAAACCTTATTACGTCAATTCCGTACTGTAACGTAGCTGAAATTGGAAACGTGTTGTGAGTTTCTAATACAACAAAAACATCTCAAAAGAAGTGAAAAAATATAATTAAAGCAATCGTATCATTAACAGAAGAAATAAAAATATATATATTATTATAAATAAGCGTACGTACGTGAAGTCAGAATACCCACCTTCCCCACATCTGGTGCTGCTTTTTTAGAGATGGGAACTGCTCCTAATGTTCCAGCAAGAGCAACAGCAGCAATGACAGTAACAGCAACAATGCTGTAATTGTTGTGCAGGGCCATCGTCTGAAATATCAGAAAACAACAAAGAATAAATGTATTTTGTTATATTTAGCTATGTTGTGGTGTAACGGAAAATAAATATGTACAACTTTTTTAAAGCATCATTTCATGAAATCCAGTTCAACTCATTGCCGCCTCTGCAAAGTTTGACTTAGCAGCAATATTGCTTCAAAATTACAGCAGAGATTTATTTCCGCTAATTTTGGATTTTAAGGGTTTTGTATTTATTTAAAGGTCTCGATAAGGTTTGATGAGCAGAATACTTAGACATAAAAGGGGACACTGCCAAGCATATAGAACAATGTACCTACATGTAGCTGTAAAGGATATGCCGAGGCATTGTCTGGAACTCAGATAGTTTTGTACTGTAGAAAAAAACTGCCTGAAGTTAGAGAGATCCATTCTGAATGTCGAGAGGCCTGCTAATGACAATCAGGCTAAGAGTCTATCATAAAAGATGCAGGTGTGCGTTGCCCGCTTAAAAACAATTAACAGTTAAAGATGGATATGTTATACTGGTATGATTAATTTGCAGTCGGCATAAAGCTTAAAATGTGTTCAGGTTGCAGTTACCATAGCAGTGTTCATGATTTTAAATCATATCATAGAAAGGCAAATTGAGAATTTAAACTTTTAAGCCATCCAGTCTATCAAGCCAGACAGCTGTAAGACATGCCGTCCCATGTTCGAACAGTTAGCCCAAATGACGTACTGAAAGGACTGGACTGTTCGCTAGCTGAACGTTTACCGGGAGCAATAAATTATATATACTATAGTGTATGTGACGGGTGACACTTCGATACAAAAAGAGGATACTGTTTTTGTACTCATACAATTTATTGTCTCTACACAAACTTGTGTGACTGTACGTGCTTATGTATGGTTCAAATCTGTAAAATAAAAAAAATGCTTAAATAACTGACAAAAACCCTAGAGCACATTATTTAAAGATATAAAAAACAAACAGATAAATAAATATTAATAAAGTGAATACATTAAATAATAAAGAAAAATGTCACACTACATTTGAAATTATACACATGTCCACACTCAAATTTTACTAAGACTTGTAAACCACAATATACATACCCAAAACCAAAGTTTAACTGCATATAAACTTAAAAGTGATAATGACAGTTGCATGAAGTACAAGTAAATGAAACTTACAATTGTATGTCCTCTTTTGTATGACTAAATTCTAGCTTCTTAGGTGTCTGTGTAAAAATGAACTGCTTGCTTCTTAGGTGTCTGTGTAAATGAAGCTCACTCTAAGTGGCATTGTCTATTATTCAGTAGGGGTGTGTGGGCTATACTAAACTGAAGGGGTGGTAGGTTATGTCCTTTACACTGGCCCCTTAAATGTGAGATTATAAAACAAACATTTACCTAATATACTACTAAATGTATGAACTACATTTTAAAACAAAAAATATATCAGTTGTATGGTACATCTTAAATTAGCTATACTCCTTAAATGCTAATCTTAAACTAAGTAACACAATGACCACTACATAATTAGTGTCACTTTATCCAATGTCCTTCATGGTAACCTCCATGAATTATTGTCCTCATTGATCAATTTCCATGTCTTAAATGTCCTCCAAGAATACCCTTTCCATGAATGAAATCCAATGTTATAACAGTCTCTGACTTTATCACAAATTGATTGATGACTGAAAATCAATTTACATAATGTTATCATAGTCTGTGAACAGTCCATAATAAAACAAAAGTAATGAAACAGTCTTTTAAATCTATAAATCACACAGTTCTGCAATCTGCGACTCTTCCAATAAGCGCACCTTGGTTATGGGCCTAATCAAAGTTGTATTGGGAATTTGTACTTCTGCGATCTTACTGTACATGTCCATCCCTCCCTGGAAAAGTTTTAATGACTGTTGCAATTTGCCACATGTTCCTTGGTGTGCTGTTGTCTGCAATTAAAACAGCATCACCAATCTGTATATCACGTCTTACAGTCATCCACTTTTGTCTGCTTTGAAATATGGCAAATATTCTCTCACCCAACGTTTCCAAAACAAATCAGCAAGGTACTGTATGTGACACCATCTTTTACGACTGTACATATATCTTCCTTCTGAAATCTACCAGGTGGAAGTGTTGGGCATGACCCCCCTCACACACACACACACACACACACAGGGTCGTACAGATGTATTTTTCTACCAGTGAGTGCACTCTTCATGAACTCTGATAATTTTCATGATAACTTTCAGTATGATAAACAAATCTTACTGGAGAGATTAGGAGACACATGAAGCATTACCAATAGGTATTATTAAATTTCGTATTTAGAATGTTGAAGAAGAACTGAATGGTACCTGATTCAGTTAAAAGTGCCAAGAGTTAAAAGAGTTAAAAGTGCCCAAAAACATTTGAGTTATTTACCGTTTTAGCGTTCTGCATTTTCAGCGATGGAGGGCGGTGACGATTCCAGTATTCTCCGAATCCATTCAGAAACACGTCCGCAATGCCGGAGATTCTTGGTCCACAATCAGTCACAGTAAAGCTGAAATGAATTGTTTTCTGAATGCATAACTGCCTGTCTAGGTAGATTTTTAAATTGATTGGAATTGTGATATTGAATTTTTGCTGTAATATTTAGTGATGAAAAGCCAGTAAGATCAGTATATAAAGGAGCTTTTCATGTCAGTATTTTGCTGACATTTGTCAGCATTTTGCCTTACAAGCTCTGTGTGTAATAGTCATAAAGAAAAAAAAAATAATAAAATGGATCTAAACAACAGGTAGGATAAAAATCAAAAGATATGTGATACATAGAATTTTTGGCAATGCTGCATTTTTTGTGTGGTGGTGCATAGTGGAGATTGATTTGCTGTGGATAGGTTGCTTTGGAGCTTCTGTTTTAATTTTGATACAGTTGACTGGTGAATTTGTTAATATGAAAGTTTTTGTTCTGATTATGATATTATTTTTGGCAGCTTGCTTGTGCCAGTAGTTGTTAAAAAAACCCCATACACAAACACACACAGAGGCATGCACATGCACAGACACACATGCACGCACACACGCAGGTCGTACAGATGTGTTTTTCCACCAGTGAGTGCACTCTTCATGAACTGTGAATTTTCATGATAACATTTGGTTTGATAAACATATCTTACTGGAGAGATTAGGAGATACATGAAGCATTATCAATATTATAGGTATTTTTAACTCCATATTTAGAATGACGAAGAAGAACTGAATAGCACCTAGTTCAGTTTTTTAAAAGCTCCAAAGAGTTAAAAGTGCCTCAAAAGACCTGAGTTATTTACCATTTCATCTTCCTGCATTTTCAGCGATGGAGGGCGGTGACGACTCCAGTATTCTCCGAATCCACTCAGAAACACATCCGCAGTGCCGGAGATTCTTGGTCCACAATCAGTCACAGCTTTATGTCTTCACGAGATACAATATTTACTCTTCAGTCCAGGTCTTATGACTTGCAAAAAGTTTAAGTTGATTGTTTTTTGCAAAAGCTGTTATTTTTATTGTGAAAGGCCTACATAGTTGTATACTAGTATATCTAGTAGACTAAGATCTGTACATTCACTTACACTCTCTTTTGCTCTTGTTTTGTATCAGATTTTATATAAAGTAAAATGGTATAGTAAAACTTGGAAGAAAAACATTTTACCAAAGTATTATAATGTGCTGTACTTAACAAAAGATTTTAAAAAGTAGATATCATGTATTTTTCTAGATTCAAACAAAACACCTTTTTTTAAATTTCATGTATGGAGCCTACATGAGCGGTGCCTCATAGATGTATATTGTCTTTTACTGTAAAATCTTTATAAGGTACTTTACGAAAACAATACATAGAATGAATATCTATATTAATAGATGTATTGTAATGAAAAGTGACAGATAAAGAACGTATCCAAATCTGGGAAAAATGTGGCTGCAACTCTCAGAATTTTCTCACAAGTGGACAGACAGGAAGAGAAGAGTGATTTTCACCTGAATTTTGATGAGTAATCATTAATTTTCAAGAAATATGCCATTGCCAGCACTTTCTTTAACAGAATATTTTGTTTACTACTGGGCTTTTAGAAACTATTATTTATTTGTCACTGAAAATGAATGGCTTTCTCCTTATAAGCAAAACGTAATTTCACTTGTTTTCATTGATTGGCATCATTGATTTTTTATTTGCCTGAAATATTTAAGTTATTTTTTAGAATGAATTGTGCCAGTGAACACAAATGTAAACAATATTTTATATAAAAACATGTAGCAGTTGATAGCTATAGTTGATATTGAATGAACTGGCATGTTGCGATTAAATGATATTGGGGTTTGTCTCCCATGGTGGAAAGATACATCTTGAACTTTTTTTTTTTTGTTAATACAGCAAATGACTGTACTTAAATTTCAGAAAATATTTTGATATTTGATCATGTTCAGGCTATGCAGTCACCCTTAAAAAAGTGACTCTTATAGTGCTGGAAAAAATCCTGGAAATTTCTACATTTTTCACGTTATCATCAGCATTGTAATTTTGTCAGTGATTTTAGATATGGTGTGCATGGGCATTTGTGACCACACCACGGAACCGACCAAAGGAGGCCAAAATTGCTCATCTAACTTACGCAGTCATCCCAACCTATGACGTTGAAAATGTGTCCAAAGTGTTCAAATTTCAAGGAATTTTTTCTCTGTTATATGCTCAAGGTGTCTTTGAAAATTTGAAATAGAGAAATTACTAAGCAATAAAAGTATCATCATAATAAATAACCTTACATATAGCTTCAAAAGCAAGTAGTTTTGCAGAAATGGTTACTCCTGTTGAAACAGTAGTATATATTTCAAAGTAAATACAAGAGCAGGGGACATGCTCTCAAAACTTTCTCAAATTTTAAATTCTTTGAAAAATAAGGTATGTTATGCAAGCCCTCAGCAGGCTGAATGCACATACTAGTATTTTTAATGCCAGGTGGTGGAATATTGCTAGAAAAACCAATAGAATTTATCAGAAATTAAAGTGACTTCAGAAAAAGTTTCAAGCTTAAATAATGCATGATCTTTAGAGAAAATGTCCCTTGCATCAAAGGCAGAATGCCCACTGTTATATGAACTCAGTATTATATGATCGGTCCTGTGATCATGATAATGAAAACTAAATAATGTTGTTACTGTTTTATCGTGGTGTGTAACTCGAAGTTTACTGATTTTTGCTGTTACCTGATATATATACCTGTATATATAGATGTTTACCCTGCACCTGTGGTAGATGTGTAGCTGTTTATTATTATTAATCTCTTTCTTTGCAACTGTGTGTGTAGTGATATTTATTTATTTATTTTTTTACCATATTCTAGGGTAGCGCTAGTAATTTTTGCGCTTAGCCAAATCAGAACTTTTTGGACAATTTTTTATCCAAATGGTTTTAATTTGACTAAAACAAGTCATATTAAGCCCATTATGTTTAGCCATTTTAAGTCAGTTTTAGCATTTAGATAAATTGGCGAGTGTTAGCGCTATCCCAGATATTTATTTGTGTTTTTGGACTTTGAATGAATGACATACTGATACTTTAAGAAATATAGTGTTAAGAAAAGATACTTGGTTCAATGTAAGAAAGCTTTTTGTATCTTGTACCCTCTCAAGTAATATGGAAAAATATTTTATTTATTATGTGTATTCTCTCAAGTAATATGGAAAAATATTTTATTTTTTATGTGTTTTCGCTTTATGGTATCTTCTCTCCAGCTACCTTCCTAGTGGTAGAAGCCATGATTGATCAGTTATACACTTATAAAAATACAATAATGTCATTTATTTTTTTGTGAATGTCTTTTAACTCTGCTTTGAACCTTTAACATTGATATACATTAAGTTAACTTAACCACTGATGCCTTTATTAATGTCTCAAGCTGCAGAACTTCCTCGATTTATTTAACTTTTTCCTTAGAAAGGTCTGATATTTTGTTGTCTGATGTATTGAAGTGTTGTGAATGCTTTACATTATTTCATATATTTTATTTTTTGCAGTGTTGTAATGCATGTTTTAGTAGTTCTTATTTTATTTATTATTTTTGTTAGATGACCATTTTATATGCATTTTATTTAACTATATGCACATGTACATGTAGCTTCAGTTTGTCACTGTCATTAAAAAAAATTAATTGGGTTGTAAAAGAGACGACAGATCATCGATTTATGCAGCATGGTGTGCTCTGCAAGTTCGAATCTACATTGTACAATGCCATCTTTAACTTGGATAC